TCTCTATATACTTTCTTTTACGTTTTTTATGAAATTTTCCTATCGTCGTCATTCTTTGTCAAGAGATTATCTATTCCAACAGAAATAAAAAAAAATTTTTTTTTTCTAATATTATTTTTATATATGCTTTCACTCGTTCCACATTCGCATACCCACGCACACGCACGCACATTAATTTTACTCTCCCTTTTTTTTCTTCTTATTATTAAAACAAGGAAAAAATAAAAAATTTTTTTTCTAAATTAATTCCATTTTTTTTTTTTATCGATTGTTCGATAATCGATTTATATCGATCGTTTTTCATTTTGATTTTTATTTATTGATAACCAAAAGAAAAAAAGAAAAAAGAAATTTATTTTTTTATTTATTATCTTATTAAAAAAAAAAAGAAAAAAAAAGAAAAAAGAAAATTTTCACCGCATTTTTAGTTATTGTGTTATTAACTTTATAAAAAAAATTATTATTATTATTATCATTATCTAAAAAATTTATTTATTTATGTAAAACTGAAAGCAAACAGATTTTATATTTAATATAATAGTATTTTTCTTTTTTTTTTTTTTTTTAATTATTTTATGCGAAAAATAAAATTTAAACTTTCCAAAGAAAATTGTAATCTGATTTTCTTTTCACCTTAATCAAATTTTTTAACGGTTACAAAAAAAAAAGAAAAAACCCGAGTAGGTATTTTAATTGCTCAATCAAAACGTAATAAAATTTCACCTGGTAATAAAATATCTAAAAACATAAACATAAACAAAAAAAACAACAACGAAACCTTCTCAATCCTTTTTTTTTTTTTTTTGTTTTCTAAATTGTTATTAAACATTTTTTAATGACTTTTGAAATTTTTCTAATATAATAAACATGAGGGATTCATCTTACAAAATTGTTTTTTTTTTCTTTATAACTGTGTAAAAAAAAAAAATTTTTTTTTTTTTACTAGGATTACTACTTATTACAACAACAAAAACAAAAAAAAAGGTAAAAAAAGTGAAATTAAATTATTATTATTATTATTATTCACGGTGGAAGTTATGCAAAAGAAACTCGTCGAGTTTATGTGAAATTATCATCATCATCATCATCATAATCATCGTTATGTTTTTAACCGCATCGTCGTTATTTAAATCCAACAAACCGTTTAACACAATTTTTTTTTTTTTTTTTCTATTACTACCTACCAAAAATCTAACCTCATTTTATAAATTTATTTAAATATATTATTATTATTATTATTTTATTTTTATAAATAACGATTTTGTTGTGGTTGTTGTTGTTGGAAGTATAATTAACAAACGTTTATTAAATTTTTTTGTTTATGGATTTATTACTCATTATTATTATTACCTTTCGCAAAAAAAAAAAAAAAATTTCGTGTTGTGACTTCATCTTTTTACTATCGAATGAAGCAACATGATTTATTTGAATAACAAAACACAAAACAAAATGAAAACAAAACACAAAAACATTTGCACGTGTTCATGCTCGTGCATAAAAATTATTTTTAAATATATATATATAAACGTACAAATTTAAATTCTACGTGTAATTATTATTATTATTATTAAATGATAAGAAATTGATAATTTTATAAGAAAATTCTGATCATTAACTTCACATAAAAAACAAAGCGGGAATATTTAATGACGTCATAACGAATAAATATAAAAATTTGAAAAAAACAAAATGGCGTACAAAATGGCGCGTGCGTGCGTATTGAATATTTTCACGTTTTTTATTATTTTTACTTTATTATTTTATTAATTAATAATAATTAAAAAAAAATTTCCGTCTTTAATAAATAAAAAGATAATCGTGACGTAGTTAATAATAATTTATTAAAACAAAAAAAAGAGGAGGAACTTGTAATTTAAGTAAAAAAAATTTGTCCGTTGAACTTTTTTTTTTTTTTTTTTGAAACGTGAACTCCACCTTGTTAAAGACGAACCCGCCATAATTATTTAAATAAAATTTTTTTTTTTAATCTACAAAATTCTTTTTTTTTTTTGTTTTCATTAAGAGATTAATCGAGGTCATAAAAAATAGAATCTGTGATAAGAAAATAACACGACCGTCATTACCTTCGAATTTGTTGCGGTTTACTATAATAATAATAATAATAATCATTTTATTGTTTATAACAAAAGGTAAATAATATATAAATAAATATGACGTCATAGGTATTAATATAAAATGAAATCAATGTCGCCTCGTTGTTGTTATTTTAATTTTTTTTTTTTTTTAATTAAATAATTATAATGTTGACAACAACAATAGTAATTATAATAATAATATTATTATTATTTGTGATTATAATTGACACGAAATGACGTTTGTCATAATAATAATAATAATAATGATAATATAATAATTTTTGTTTTTTTTTTTTTTTAAACCGGTTAATTACATATCGTAGGTTTTATACGTTTAAAAACGTTTCGTATACTGTTTTTAAATATTATTATTATTATTCTCAAACAAAAAGATTTAAAATTTTCTTTTGTTTAATAATAATAATAATAATAATAATAAAACTTAATTTATCCCGAAACTTTTTTTTTATTGTTAACAAGTGAGACATTTTGTGTGGAATTTTTTTTTTTTTTTAAGGCATTTAAGTGGGTCGAATAAAAAGTAGGTTACCTTGTTTTTTTTTTTTTTTATCCCAACATGAATCAACTCATGAGTTAAATATTAATAATAATAATAATAATGATAATAATAATAAATAAATAAATCAAATCGTGTTTGACTCGTTTGAATTTTTATCCTTGCAACAAATACCCTCATCGCGGTGACGTAAAAATAATCATCAGTAATAATTTTTAAATAAAAAAAAAGTATTATTATTATTATTATTATTATCATTATTATTATTTATACGTGTAGAACGTTAAGCAATCCAGATATTGTTGAAAATTTTGATTTCTTAACATTTTTCGAAAATATATTAGACCTTCGTTTGAATATTTTCTACATTGTAATAAAACAATAAAATTATCATTAAATTAAAATTTTCGCACATTTTTTATAAATAATTTCGAATATAAAAAAAATAAATAAAAGAAAATGTCTGTCTGTTTGTCTTCTGCTAAAGTAAACGACGTGCGTGCGTGCGTGCGTGCG